CTCCATCTCACTCCTTATCAAAGGCACACTCTGTGTCAAGGTAACTTCCTTTTTTTGGTTATTAGATTATAATTGGATGAGCTATTGTCTATTTGTATTTCCCTTATTCAGAATAGATGTAAATTGTAAAGCTCATTTAGATTTTATCGCTAACGATTTTTGTTCTCTATGCTCAATGCCTTTTCTTGGACTCATGCTGAATCTTTGTATATTTTATGGGTTATAGATGGTCTTTTAAGGTCCTCATTTTGTTTTATAGATCTATTCTACCACCATATGGTTTGCTTTCTGTCATAGTTAAACCTAATATTTACTTCCTATGCTTTATATCTAAATAGGAGCATATGTTAACAATTTATGTATACATTGAATAGTGATTATACAGGCAGATAATCTGCTCAATGTGTAGTTAGCTGTTGTAGGGGATCTTTGTTTTCCATTGAATTCACCCAATTTTTGAAACTCGTGGAGCCTAAATGAAAGACTGTTTTGTTTTTGTGTGCATGGTTATATGCATCAAGTATATAGGGTGTGCTTCACGCCTATAATCATGTAAATGTTCATTCTTTTACTGGTATCGGTATATGCTAAATTTTTTTTTTTTGTAGTCCATTCTTGCTGTTGTGCCTTCTATCGTTTCAGCATAACAACCATTAGAGCAGTACTTCGTGTCTGGCGTATTGTCTAATGCCAGTGTTTACAGTCATATCAACCTTGGTTCTGAAATCATATGTTTTAGGAGCACCTGATGGAGTTGGGGTGCAAATGAATCGAGCTGAGGTTTGGTAAGGGCTTGGCTTGACTCAAATTGTCACCTCAAAACTTGGATCGACTCAAATTTTGTCACCTCGAACTTGGTTCATTCCATGGGCATGCAAAATGACAACTCTAATTGATTTATCTGTTGTGCCTGCTTTCACGTTGAGTTCAGCTTGTTTCAGATCCCTTCAATAGAGAGGTGTTTCTGACTTCCAATGCTAAGATTGACAAGTATGAGGAGAAGGGAGCAAAATCTATATAAATAAATCGAAATAAAGAGTTCAATCACAAGTCACATACCGAAAATTATTGTCTTTGATGCTTGTCCTTGATATGATGATTCTTCATATATCAGAACCATGTAATGATATGCAGTATCAAGCTCTGATTTGATTGTCCCTTTATTCTAAAAGAAAAATACATCCTGATTTGTCTCATTCTATTGCCTTTCACTTTGGCATGACTCTTTTTCCTGGAAAAAAAAGGTTGGAAGAAAGTTTTGCAGGACGATAGTACCATTATGTTGGGTGGTACTGCCATTTGGGTTCCTCAGTTTTGGTTGGATCTTAGACTGGTATTGGCTCTCACAAACATTTATAGGTAAAATTATAGTGGGAGTACCATTAAGATTATTGATATTACCATGCCTACATACCTATTTAGGATGCCTTTTCCAGGACTTCAAGCAAGCTGTCTCAAGAATGGTGGTGAAGTTGCCAACATATTTTTGTTGCCTATTGAGTCCCATGGCCTGAGAGATGCAGTTGGGATAAAGAGGAGAGTTCCAAAAGATGGATAGAGCCCCTAATCTATAAGAAGATAAGCAAGCCTCCCTAGACTATACAATAGCGCATCCAAACCACATGAGGGGCTTATTTTGCCAGATTCCACCAAGTATACAAATCGAACATAACCATATATTATGTTCAGAGAACATATCTTTTAAATTGTCCACACTAACCATCCATCTTTCCCCTACCTCATGTTAGATGTAGAGAATTGAACCCCCTACTCAAAAAATAAGGAGAAAACATGATGCGAACATCTCTCTACTACTATTTACAACTGGTCGAACTCAATAAATAAAGGGGGGACTGAACGGGGGCTAAAGTAGCAATGGGCAGTGCAACAAAGCTAAAAAAACCCGAAGAGTGACGCACACGCGTACTATAAAGTTAACATGTGATGCTTTACACCCATGTCTAACTGGTTATAGATGCCGCTATGTTCTAATGTGGAACGAACACTAGCTTGAGCACTACTCTGCTATGGTAAAATACTAATTTCAAGTCGCAATGCTTGAGAGAGAATATTTGTAGAACGCAATTTGTAAGCACGGCTTAGAAACACCAGTCTGTGTGACAGTGGATCACTGCCACATTCTCCAATGAATTAAAATATTGAAAAATGTGGCTGTTATCCTAGTGCCACATAGACTGCTGTATGTGAGCACCAGGCATTACTCATAAATATAGAACTATTTCGCGAGCCAAGCATGAGTTGTCCTTGGATAACTCTGCTCATTTGCACGTCCAGATGGACATAAACCCAGTTTCTGCTCTCTTTCTCTCTCTCTCTCGTCAGTCCTGTGTTGCCACTTCCTCTTAATATTTTGTCTTTAAGTGTGGTGCTGACATAATGTATCCACTTGTTGAAAAATAGTCATATAGTTTTTCCTCGTGAACCTGGAATTATTTATTTATTTTTTTTAGATATGGATACGTTTGCGCTATGGGATTGTGTGTTAGGATCTTGGTCGGATATGATTCAATTGCCTACGTCTCTTTTTGTTGTGGAGGTATGATGTATGGATGGTAGCTTTGGAATCCTTTTTGATGTTGTCGTTCTAATGAGCATCACATATGTCCTTGGGTGCTAGATGGGGAACAAAGGACATCGTGGATCGCTGAGGCAAGGCTGGACTGTGAAATAATTTCCATTTGAATGAGGGAACACCATCTGTTTGCAGTGGATAACTATCTTCAATGCTGGCAGCACCACAGCATAATATCCAATTATTTATTTATTTATTATTATTTTTTGTATCTTGCATATTGGTCTTTCAAAATACATTTTTTAGTTGAGGTTCTGCTTCTTTTTTAATTATTATGTCACTTGCTTAGATGTATATGTGTTGGTTCTGCTTTCTCTGTTCTTTCTTTTTCCCGTGCTAAATGTTCGTGAGTTTCCTCTTATCCATTTGGTCACGATCACTCTGACGTGGAAGTGGCATCGAGGCTCTTGGATCAAAGTTGTTAAAAAGCACAAGTGGATATTAAATTGGATTATTTCTGGAACTTTTGCAGATCTCTGTCAAGATCCAGATCCCCTGCACCGTCTGTAAGTTTTATCGTTGTTATATTTCAATTTTTTATATGCTGTTATTGCATTTGCCGTTGGTCTGTCCCTTTTGTCTCTCAATTTTCTGTTGATCATAGATAACACAGTTATTACCTTGAAATGTAAAGTTTTAATGTAATTCTCCTAGTGTATGCTTTATGTTCTCCCCGTCGTTTTGATTGGTCAAATTTCAGCGCCAGAAGCATGTTAGTAAGAGTCCACAGAAACATTCTAGACGTAGCAGAAGCATGAGCCGAAGCCGAAGTCAGAGCAGGAGTCTTTCTAGGTTCTCTCTCTCTCTCTTTTTTTTTTGACTCATGCGTAACTTTCCTTGATCAAGATGAATCCTGATTTTCTATTTGCTTTACGCAGGTAAGATTCATCTGCGGAGTGGTGCCTTTTTGGTTCCGGATGGGTTACTGAGCTGTCCTTTGAAAACCTATGTTCTAGTTAATGGATAAACTGAGAGAATTCTTGATGAACTATTAGAGTTATGTCTTTATCATACGCCTGATTTCCGTTTTCTGCAGAGGTTTAAATATAATTACCAATTTGCTGTATCTTAACTAAGATTTTTTAATATTTTCCTTGGATCTTTTTGTCGGCAGTTGGCCTTATCTGTTTTTTCAACGTGCATTTTTTAGTGCTTAGCTGCGTGAATTTCCTTTTCATCTGCCCTTGTTGGCATAGTCATAGTATGTTTAATACGTTAGATTGGACTTCACAGTTAAATAAATAGTTAAGTGGGGACACGGGGGATTTGAATGTGGATGGATTTTGTGTGTTAAAGCATAATGTTGAGTAGGGATGGTGATTATAATGGTTCTACAACTTGTGGCGCATATCATTTTGAACATCTCCAAGTTCCACTTTAGGGTCCCAGTGTCACCAATGTCAATGTCATGAACAACTCACGTTCAATCTGGACCGCTATTAGAATGTGATTGTGGACAAACCAGTCACCTATGATAATAGAGACCGGGCAATTATAAAACAATTTTATAAGTGCCTTCAACTCGTTTGGAGCTGAAAATTTGAGTACCTCAGCCTTGACTCACTTTTCATGGGCAGAGGAAACCTTAGCTTTTTGACTGTCGGCCCTCCGTCATGAGGTCACCTCTTTGAAGAGATGCCCCTGATGTTAAAGATGGGTTGCTCATTGGGGATGACAATTCGAGAAAGAGTGAGGCAAGAAAAAACTTATAGGTTTTGCTTTTAAATTGAAGACTTGCAAAAATTGGATTATTTTCATTTCTATTTATACGATGAAAAATAGAACGAAGAGAATATTTTCAATTTTTCGTTTTAATGTCATGAGCCTTTATAACCAAGGACGTAGATAGGTGACAGCTCTGAGCTTAAGTTCGGACTTTCACATGTTTCACCTATATCTTTAATATTTATCTAGAGTTTTGTCGATAATAGCGTATATCATGTGTCTACAGAAAAGTGTACGTACATTTTTTTATTAAAGAACGAAATTTCAATTTTATTATAGCAAAGCCCTAATTACATTTTTAGCAGACGAGATCACATCTATTGATTAGGTACAAACCGAACCTGATATATATGTATTCAAAAATGAAAAAGAGGTTTAAATAGATGTGCCGAGTCGGGCCGGGAAACCCGGTGAATTCTCCTGATACAATTGATGTGTAACCATCCTATAAATAGTTCCTCACTCAGTCCCTCGAAATCAACAAATCTGGCCGCAAAAATCTCTCGACCGAATAGAAATTTGAGTCCCTTTCTGAAACTTACATAGAATTTTCAATCCGATTCACGTGCCCATATCCAAGATGAAAACCCTTTGAATTCTGTCATTTTCTTGTCAAATCTTGGTAATTTGTTTTCTGGGTTTTTAAATTTTGGAATTTTCGTAGTTTATGATCTTTCAAAAAATGTCTGAGTGTGTTTTTTCGAGGCTATCCGATGATGTAATTCTTAACATACTTTACAAGCTTGAGGATGATCCGCGACACTGGGCTAGGATAGCTTGTGTCTCCCCTAAATTCGCATCTCTCGTCCAGATCGTGTGTTGCAAAACCAAATGTTTGCAGACTATTCCTGCCGTTGTTTCAGATCTACTTTCCAATGTCTCCACTTCGGCTGCCACACCGCCTGGTGGCTGGGCCTCCCTTTACAAGCTCGCCGTCTGCTGCCCCGGCCTCCTCCACTCCGGCGTGCTTCTTGAGAACTCCGATTTCGGGCTGGAGCGGGAGCTTGGTCCTGATGAGAATTATCAAGAAAATAAGGTACTCCCTCCCAAAAAATCTGAAACAATTGCTTCTTCAAGCGGGGGTAATTCCGAGTTGACTGTTTCTGGGTCTGATTGTGGATGGTCCTTGTATGATGATTTATTTTTTGATACCGTTTATAATGCTTCCGAATCGTCGTCATCTCAAGACCGTGCTGAAATGTCAAAAGAGCAAACTGAAATTAGGGATAGGGAGAAACTGGAGCACGATGCTGATTTTACTGTACCTAAGAGGAGGAAGATTTGTAGGCCACTTAGGTCTCATTTGGCTTCCGGCGTATGGAATTTGAGCCGTGAGCAAGGGAATAAGTTGCTTGCGAGCAGATTTAAAGGAGATTGCTTGTACATTTGCATTTGGCCTGGTTGTGCTCACATTGAGGAGAAGCGGAATTATATGCTCTTTAGGGGGATTTTCAAGAATTTCAAGCAGTCAAGGGTTTGGAGGACGATTAACGATGGGAATAGGAACAAGATTGATCTGAATTGTGCCTTCTGCACCTCCAAAGAAACCTGGGATTTGCATTCTTCCTTTTGTTTGAGAAGGTGTTTTGGGTACCATGACGATGGAGAGCCAGTGGTTCGTGCTTATGTTTGCGATAATGGACATGTGTCGGGGGCATGGACGGATTGGCCATTGTACACATGACATTTTTTTCTCAATTATGGTGATGATTATGTTCTAGTTTTTTTACCAGTTGATTTTAAGGATTTATTGACAGGATATATCTTATGAATAACCTCCTTTCTAATTGATTGCATTTGTATTACTCTATATCTTTGATTAATTGATGTACTTTATAAATTTTTGCTGTCTTCTCAAATCGGTAATGAGTATTAGCTTGTGCAATTTGTGTCTTTCAAGAACATAGATTTGGTTCTTATATTTTGCAAACAACGAATAATCTTGATCTTGGACCACCTCGAATCACTTTCCAATGTTTATTTTATCCCGGATGTTTTGAACACCTATAAAACATCCATGAATGTGATTTGTACAAAATTATTGTTGTTACATTACACTAGGCATTACCTTTCCATACAGTTGGCACATATTCTGATCGAGGGAGTGCAGTGCATTGATCTTTAAATGAAAAAAAATAAAAAAATTGAGTCGTACGTGTTTTTTTCCCCTGCGAAATTGAGGTATTACTTGTTATTTCATGTTTTTGCTATAGATATTGTTTATGAAATCTGAATCAATAGTCAAGAAAATCATATTCCAGTTGTCTGCATTTTAATTTAGTGAACCCCCATTTTAATGCTTATTATTTCACCTCTAACTAGTGATAACTTTCTCTCTGTCTTGTCCCTTGAGTATCCATTCAGTCAACTTCACTGTTTTGGTCTGAGAAATTATGTGTGATTACTGATTAAAGTTATTAATGTTCATCCGTATCTCTTGAAGTTCATAATGTGGCTCCGAGCTTGAGATTTTTTCATTTGATTGCTTGTTCGGTAAGGCTAGAAAAAATAAGTTAAAACTTGTCCATTATAGAGCTACTGTATACCAAATAAGTTCAAACGTGTGGTTGTTTCATTCCTTAGTACAAATAATTGATGCTTCTGATCAACTTGTATCGATTTATTCTGAATAACAATGTTATATTGCTGAATTTAGTAATTGTACAGAAAATTTCAGTTCGGACCTCAATCCCTTTCACCACTCGTCCGTTTATAGATGCTGATGGGCTCAAACATGATGTCCTAGTCATGTGAAGCTAAGTGTACCGACCTAGGATTACATGACACCGTCCATTTGAAGGAATTCGATTGGTTGGTGAGTTCCACCATGACACTTAGACCTCAGGCATGTATCCTAATTCATCATGTCGTGTTCTTGATTGGTTGGTTTGGATGTTGATAATAAGACTTGAAATCGTAAATTCAACTGATTAACTTGATTATTTATGATAACTAATTTACTTGAATGTCTCTATTTACGAATAGAGAATAGAATTGTCCGCACCTCAAACATTTTAAATTAAAGAATTTATGTCTACAATTTTAAAATTAATTTCCAAACAAATATCGAGATATATATTCAAGATGTCCATGTTTACAAATTAAATAGGTGATAAACGAAACGATGGCCTAGTTTCAATTTTACAAAAATGTTTCAACATTTTTCAAAAAAATATTATAAAATAAAAAGAATTTGTTGTCGTTTTTGAAAACGAAATGGCGGCTGCAATCAATCAATTATGGAAAAGTTACATTTATTTAGGGATAATTGCAACCACGACCTGAAATCTTTTAATATCTTTTATAAATTTTAGCTTATCCTATTATTTGTTACACTACATATACCAAACCTTTCATTTCTGTGCGATTGAAAGATATATGAATGGTTTCCTTTCAAAAGACCATTAGTTGATCTAGAAACTTGACTTTGATCATATTTTAACCAATTTTAAAATGGTAAAATGACAATTGAAATTACCGTAGTCTTGTGAAAGAAATCGTCCACATATCCTTCAATCGCTTATAAATGAAAGGCTGGGGATTGATACTGCAACAAACAAAAGATCAGAGTAAAATTTGTAAAAACTTGAAAGATTTGGGACCGTCACTAAAATTATTCATTTATATATTGCACAACATACAAGACAATACGATATGATCAACTGGATAATGTTATGCTGCTGCAAGCAAGTTCCTTTCTCTCCTTGCTATTTTTGCTGACTACGGCCGCGCACGGTGGCGATTATACCATAGCAGAATTTTCGGCAGACTTTATTTTTGGATCTGGAACTTCTGCTTATCAAGTTAGTATTTCTTCATTTTCTTCTTTTGTTCATATTTTCTCAGAATTCTAATCGTTGAAATTTTGCATGAGGGAAGGATTGGAAGGATTCCTAGCATTTGGGACATCTTTGCTCATTCTGGTTTATACTTACACATATGCTCTTTATCTTTTATCAATTATTATTCACACATTTCGTTAGTCAGGAACACCTAAGTAACACTTGCAGCATTGCGCAACTTATCGGACATGGATCCACTAATTCTTGTATTATAAGGATATTATAAGTAACTTAATAGAAAGTCCAAACACGCTATGTTTGGAAACAAAAAAGTCACTTTGCTCTAAGCTTAGAATGTTATTTAATGTTTGTGGATCAAAATACAATCTCAATATTTCTAGCAGCACTGAAGTGAATTTTCTGGTCTAGAATTTCTCTCTAGCCCAGTAATCGAAAGAGACTCACTCCTCAAGTGTTAATATCCTACTCTGTAACTGCAGGTCATACTCATGGAGCCACTGGAGATGTAGCCTGTGACGGATATCACAAATACAAGGTGCATAAAAAGTTGAGAAGTCTAATTTTCACAACTTTTCTTTCTCTTCTTCGAGTGAGGTACAAATGAAGTTCTGCTTTAACTATGGATATTGTTACTTTTGATGTCTGGTCGAAGGATGTAGTCTCGTGAAGCCAAATCTGGCGTTCATGAAGGAAATGCACTCTTCCTATATATTTACATTAAAAGAGGCTCGTAGTAATTTTCTTTAAACCTACATAGAAATTTTTTATAGTTTATACAAAATACATGTATATTTTTCCCCTTCAACATTTTCTCGCTCCCTATGTGAAAATTCTAGCTCCACTACACGGTCTTCTTTTCTACTTCCTTGTCTTTTTATCTTGTCTTGTTTGAAGTTTGAACTGTGTTCTGAACTAGAGGTTTCAATACTTTGGCCTAAATCTACAAGTCAGATTCATACTGTGAATTTCAGGAAGATATCGAGCTAATGGTGGACATGCATTTGGAGGCCGTCAGATTATCCATATCATGGTCAAGGCTTATTCCTAGTATGTTAACCTGCATCATGCTATACAAGAAACCTGCACGTTATCGTACTTTTTACTCAAATGAGGACTGATGCCTACTGTCTTCAGATGGAAGAGGACCTATCAACCCAAAAGGGCTACAATACTACAATAATCTCATTGACGAACTTATAAGCCACGGTGACAATGCTTCGAAATATATTTTCCCTTAAATATAGCAAATGAATGGATCTGTCTCATAGTGCCTCCATGGTAAAAACTGTGTAATTGTTCAGGAATCCAACCAAATGTTAAATTAAATCATATTGATCTACCACAAGCAATTGAAGATGAGTAGCAAGATTGTGTACGTTATCCTGTACTAGTTTTACATGCCATGGAAACTTATACAATTTATTGTAGAGAAAATTATCCACTTGTAACAGCAGGAAGGACTTTGTGGCAGTGTTCTAAAAGGCGTAATGCGTTGCGATGCGTCGAGGTCAAGAATCAAGAATCACAAGTTTAGGCGTGTCAATACGAAGAATAAGCGTCATAATGCGTTTCGTATTTTTAATATTATTTTAATTATTTTTAAGATATTAAATTTATTTTTATATAAAAAAAATAGATTTTTTACTATATCATAAAAAAAAATGGGTTAATTTCACATTTTTCATTTTAATTGAAGGACCGTTTTCATTTTAATTGAAACTTAAGTGACCAAAATAGTTGAAACTTCAACCTTAAGGACTAACATGGCAAATTTGACAATCCCAAATCTCATCAACACACTCATCTTCTCTACTCCGAC